AATAAAGAACGAGAGAGAATTCAGACTGAAAAAGATTTAGAGCGTGCTTGCTCTTTTCTTTGTTGTCGTGTCGTTTGAAGTCCTATAGATTCTGCTCAAGCTGTTGTATGTACTCTGGACATTTTTTCCTGTTGTTGGGCTTATTTCTCTTATTACCATTTGATATTTGTACCTTCTCAATGGTTTTGTCCAAACCGGATAGCGGCACATCACTGTCAATTGATACCGCATCACTTTCACTACTGCCACTTATTCATCCACCTATCGTTCACTACAACGAAGTCAATAAAAATTGTTCACAGGCGGAGTCTTACCGTCCACGGAATGTTATTTTTCTTTAAAAGAGAAAAATAAGGGTCTTTTTGGATGTAATCCCACTTCTGATGATAGATTTTGTTCTTTTCAACACTTTATTCCAAAAATCGCGAATCAAACAGTCGGTTTTCTATTTTCAATGGAACAATTCTGTTTTTGATGCAAATTTCGACGAGCTACTACTATACCTTTTCAACTTCAAATTGGGATCAATCAATTTCAATTTGGAACGTAGCAATTTCAAATTGGGATTAATCAACTTTTAATTGGTAACTAACACGTTCAAAATGGGAATAAACAAAGTCAAATTGGAAATTAACAATTTAAATTTGGTACTAATTAAGTTCAAATTGGAATTTTAAAGTTTTGCAAGTCAAACGACAGTAACGCGTTTAAACCGTATATTAAATTAATAAAATGCCTCAAATTAAAGCACCTGCAGAAAATGTTTAAAAGCAAATATGTGCTGTTTTTAATAACAACGGCGACTGAAGAGGATTGGCTAACACATAAAAAAATCTACAGCTTATCGATGGGTAGAGGACAAAGAAAAGCAAACATTTTAGAAAAACATAAGGTATAAATGACTGGATACATAGAGGTATATCCTGAAATTACGCTGAAATGAGAGAAAAATTTGATCAAAATATCATTTTGATGAAATGTTTTCATTCGAGCTTAATGGCCGTCGTAAGTTGGAATTTCTTCCTGACGTCTGGTAGCAGACTGCTACCAAAATCGGACAAGCAAGCACCTCTGAAAATGCTAGCCACACGTGCTAGCGAAACGTGAGGAAGAAATCCCAACTTACGACAGTCATTAAGTCCGATTGAAAATATTTCATCAATAAACCCGGACCGCGAAAGCCTCACAACCTTTATAAAAATCTCATTTTATTACTGTGCAAAGTCCCTTTTATATTGATATATTGGTGTCGTTCACTAACAATCCTTCATTTATACAGGGTGTCCCACGATGGATGGCGTATTAGACGTTTATGGAGAACTGAAATATTGACAGTTGAAAATTGACTTTTTGCAACTTTGACAGGCTGTAAAACCTAAACGGTTAATTTTAGAAGAAAACCGATTTTACATTCCTAGCTTAGATTTTTATAAACTATCATTTGACACGAACTTTGAATTTAATCCATGATTAAAAATTCCAATTAAATTTCATCTCCGGTTAAATTCAAAGTTGGTGTCAAATGATAATTTATGAAAATCTAAGATAGGAATGTAAAATCGGTTTTCCTATAAAATTAACCGTTTAGGTTTTACAGCCTGTCAAAGTTGCAAAAAGTCAATTTTCAACTGTCAATATTTCCAAAACAGTTGAACTTAGGTATAGGATCACATGAAATCTGTTCAGAATTTTACGCAGAATCCAAATATGCAATCACATACAGGGTGTTCTATTTAAAATAGCGATGTTGCCACTGGTTTAGAGTAGAAGCGGCAACACCGCATAAGCAAAAATATTTTCAAAGTGTAAATTATGGCCGTTTATCCCGGTTGCCACATTTTCAGAATGATCGGCTTTTTAGTTCTCCATAAACGTCTAATACGCCATCCACCGTGGGACACCCTGTATATGTACATATAGCAATACCTAAATCGAATAGGTCTATTCCCAATTTGAATTTGTTTATTCCCAAATTAAAATTGATTAGTCGCAATTTGAAGTTGATTAGTACCAAATTAAACATGATTATTTCCAATTTGATTTTGTTAATTCCCACTTTAATGTTGTTAGTTCCCAATTTGAAGTTGCTTAGTCCCAATTTGAAGTTGAAAAAGTATAGAACTACACCGTACAACTTTTTTAACAGAACACATATTGACAAAATTATGGTAACACATCAACATTAAAACAAAAAATACAGCAACACTGCCAATGCAGCTTGATGAGATTTTCAAAACAAAGCATGACAATGATACAATGACAAGTCAGGAGTTTCCCACCATGCGCCTGATAGACTGTGAGATAGGGGCTGTTTAGTGGAGTCATTTTTTTTTGTCTGGCATTTTTAGGGCTGAATGTGGCTACTAAGCTGATGAGAATATGGGTGATTTTAATGCCGACCTCCCGTTCGAAAATTTGCAGAAGAAAAAAATTGATTTACATGAAGAATTTTTTTTTAACGGTCTCAATTTTTCTGGCTTTTAAATAAATGATTGACATTGATAAATAATTCACCCATGAAAAACATCAGTTGCTTTTCAATAGCTGAAAAAAGGGGGATGGGTGTCAACTTCGAAGAGAAAAGAAAAGAACCTTCAGCGTTTACTTTTTGTCTGGCAATCGAGAGAATGAAAGGTTTTGTTGTGAAAATAACGCTGAAAAATCGCCAGACGATAATCACAGTTCGAAATCGAGTTTTCCGTCGAAACATTCTGTGGATATTTCGAACAGGAGGCAGGCATTAAAACCACTTATATTCTCATCAGCTAACTAGTCACATTCATTCCTCAAAATGCCAGACAAAAAAAAATGACTCCACTGAACAGGCCCTATCTCAGGGTCTACGTCTATGACTTCCATTGACATCTTTTGCATCTAACATATCTTAAGTTTATTCTTCCATTTCTCATTTGAAGATTGCAAATAGTTCTACCGAATCAAAAGCTTCGATGTAGTCAATGAAAGCTAGGTCGAGACATTATTGTTAATGAGCATTTTGATGGATTTTGTGGTAGGTACATAGTGGTTCCTCCCAATTTTATTATTCCGGGACCCAGGTGTGATTCCACCCTCTGACGAGGCGTTTTTGTCTTTCATCCCAGACAAAGCAAGATCTGACTCTTTTGTGCTGATCTCTAGAAATTTTTCACATCCAACATTCATGATGTTTTTATTAACTATGTCGACGAGGGTAGGATTCCTCTGTATCCATCCTATATATTTCTCGATGTTCACATGTTCAAAATCATAATCCTACGTTCATTCATTAAATGTCGAGGTTCCTTTCGAAGTTCATTGATTGTATTTTTTCTTGTATAATAGTTATTTTTGTATCAATGGCGCGAAATGCTACCAAATCACCAAAGTATTTCGCGCCCGAGTTGCAAACAATATTTTTTCTACAACTCCATTTAAATATCAATCATTCGAAGCCAAAATTAGGCAATTCAATCCATCTGTCAAAAAGGAAAATTCAATGTGACGTGGCGGCCAAACAAGTTTGTTTTGAATATGTTTTTATGCGTATTTTAAATTATTTTGTATACAGTTTCGCTTAGAACTTTGATTTTCATTATTTAATAAAATATTTGTTGACTAGGTACCTAAACTATTAATTCGGGCAGAAACTAGATATTTTTTTGTGTTTTTTGGCCCATGTGTGGCCGCCACGCCATCTTGAATGTCACGTGGTTTGAATTGCCTAATTGCATTTTCAATCAAAAGTGAATCTTAATTATTTTTGATTCCCTGACAGGTATGTGTCAAATAGCTAGTTCGCGCACGGCGTCATGGGAACGTTAAAAAATCAATACCTGGGAAAAAAAGTGTCACTTTGCAAACTGTAATGAGTGTGCGAACATCATCATTTTTTGACAGTTGTAGAGAATAGTATATTAAAGTATAAGTGGATATTAAGATTGACAGAATGTCAAGCAGAACGTGCATGTCCTTGTCACAAAAATTGAAATAATTTTCGATAATAATCATGCCGGGAAGATTAAATTATACAAATGAAGATTATTTAAATTTATTTATTATTTATGGAGAATGTAATAAAGTTATTTCAAGAACATGTGATACATTTGCGAACCGATATCCGCAGAAACAGAAACCAAGTGAAAAAACTGTTAACTGAAATAACTTTATTACATTCTCCATAAATAATAAATAAATTTAAATAATCTTCATTTGTATAATTTAATCTTCCCGGCATGATTATTATCGAAAATTATTTCAATTTTTGTTACAAGGACATGCACGTTCTGCTTGACATTCTGTCATGCGCAAGGGTGCGTTCAGTTATTATTTTTAGAGCAAAATCGCCATATAAAAATATTAAATTGGCAATATTTCGAAAACTAAACATTTTCGGAATAGATAACCTTACACAAACTTGCCTTTATTTTTAATGCTTAACAAGATAAAATTATAAATTTTTGGGGTTTCCATTTGAAAAAATTGATTTTTGGAAGTTTTCTCAACTTTATTTTTAATCTTATTTTTTAAGCACCCTGTATTAAAAGTTATCAAAACATAATGAAAATCTAATAAAATAGGTCCTTTTCAACAAGGAATCAAGGTTCAATCAAAGAATAAAGGCTTCCTTATAGGAAAAATTGACAATTATTTTAGGGCCTGCAAACGCAATTTTTTGCATAAAAACTTAAATATGTCAAAAACGGTTAGATTTAGGTATAGGACATCGTACATGAAATGTATTTAGAATTTTCCTTAGAATCCAAAAATACATTAATATACGGGCTGTTCTATTTAAAATAACCGAGTTGGTATTAACTTCCGGTATGACCGGAAATGCCGCCATCTTGAAAATATTTTACCTGGATGTCCCCCATCGACATTGCTATGTTGCCAAATTTTCAAATTTTTACCTTTCACAGTTTTCCCATAAGCAATCGATGTCATTCCCGGAGGACCACCCTGTATTATTGAAGCTCCGTGCGTAAATATTCCAAAATTACAAAATGTTATTCTTGTTTCAGAGTCAGTTGAATGTAAGTTCGGAGAAGAATAGAAATAACGACAGAATCTCAAAGCTTGAAGAACAGTTGAAAAGCCTCACTATATGTAATAATTCCAGGTAAGTACTCAGTACACCCAATAGTAGTAAGTATTTATTAACAAACACGGTAACGCATGCGATGTCTTCCTACGTTTATTCAAGTGGTTCTTGTGTTTGGAAACATCTGTTTTCAAACTCTTCTCCGTTGAAGGAATCCGTATGTTTCTGGATTTCTATTGCTTCTCAAATGAGACGACTTTATCCTGAATCGCTTGCAAGAAATCTAACTTCTTCAAAAAGTATCATGTGCAATGCTGCAAACATGGAAAGAGTAATTTGAACAACTACCTAGCTAGAACCGGCCAGCTTTCAAACTGCGGAAATGCGAGAAGAATACCCCTCTCGAAAGGAAATTGAGAATGCCATAGAGAAGTTGAAAAACAATAAATCTTCGGGTAGACACGATATTCGCCTAACTCTTGAAACATGCCGGAAACACAGACACATCCCAACTACACGATCTCATAAGAACTATCTGTAAAAACAAGAAGATCCCAGAAGACTGGAAAGAAAGCATAATAATCCCCTTACACAAAAAAGAAGGAGACAGAATGATATGCAAATATCAAAAAGGAACATCGCTCATAAACGTAGCATACAAACTTCTTTCAAATATAATTCTAATGTCCAGAATAACCCCATCCACAGAAGAGATAATAGGAGACTATCAGTGCGGCTTTCGGACAAACCGATCAACGACCGACCAACTGTTTACAATTAGACAGCAACTAAACTGCTGGACAAATGAAAAGGAAGAAGCGAATTTTTAGTTTAGATTTATTGATTTGCGTAATTTAGAAGTTAATTTTCGCAAATCGTTCATTAATATCTTTTTTAGTTCGCGTAATATTGGAATCCAAATCCAAACTAAAAATTCGCCTGTTCCGTTTCATTTGTCCAGCAGTTTAGAAAAAAAGCTGGGAATTCAATAGGGAGATACACCAACTGTTTATAGATTTCCAGCAACGCCCATGATAGTGTGAAAAGGGTTAAAATCTGGGAGACAATGGCAGAATTCGGGATACCTCATAAGATTATAAGACTAATAAGAATTTGTGTAGAAGGTTCCAGATGCAGAGTGAAAGCTGGTAGTGATATCGGACGTATTCGAGGTAAATTGAAGCAGGGTGACGCGCTGTCCCCGACTCTTTTCAATATTGCCTTGGTGCAGGTTGTAAGGGACTCCAAACTCGAAACAGAGCTCCTTCAAACGAATGGTTCGCAACTAATACTTGATTATGCGCACGATATTAACGTGGAGGAAACTAGCGAAATGAATAGGAAAGAAACATTTGTTAAATTGGAGAATTAGGTATCTTAAATGGGTCTAAGGATCAACGGAGGCAAAACTAAATATGTACATGCATATCTCTAGGACAGGCAGAGGGAGAGTGGGAGTAGTGGGACAAAATGTGACAATGAATGAGTACAACAGGGTTCGATAACTTTGGTTCGATCATCACAGCCGACAATGACATCGGAGAGGAAACAAAGTACCGACTGAAAACCGCGAACAACTGCTGCTGCTGCTGCTATGTCCTTAAGAAAATATTTGGATCCAAAGAAGTTACTAGAAGATCCAAAATCGATGTATACAATTTTTTTATCAGATCTGTCAATTATGTATGGCTGCGAATCGAGGACGTTAACGGTACGAAATGAGGAGGTCATCCGTAGATTCGAAAGGCGAATACTGAAAATATACGGCCCGACAAAGGACCCACAGACGCAACAATACAGAATTAAAACGAATGCAAAACTGAGATTGCGATGAACCAGATCTGTGCAACATAATAAAGGCTCAACGGCTTAGATGGGCAGGACACGTACGTAGGAAACCCGAAGAAAGGCTAATAAGATTGACTTCAGAGGAGGAAAGGCCACTTGGGAAGATGAGATGGCAGGACAACATTGCTGCGGATCTGAGAAAACTGGACATCGAAAATGGCATGGAGCTTATGACCGATTATATAGGATGGCGGCAAGTTGTCGAGTTAGCCAAAGCCCAACAGGGGCTGTAGCGCTACGGAGTAATAAGTGAGTACCTGTCGAACTTGAACTACAATCCTTCAGTTGAATCAAAAGAATTCTGTCATATTCCTGGAAAAAGTGAACTTCTTCGGACATGTCATATATTCAAAAGGAATAGAGGGCGAAAAAGTCTAGGCGGTACGAGAGAGGCTAGATAGAGGAATTAATAGGAAATCAAAACAGTGCAGTTACTAACGCCGGGTTTATCAAGATTTTGGGTTAGTTTGGGTTGGTTTAGCTGAAATGATCCCCCACTTTGATTTTCTAGGAGCATGTCATGCAGCTGAAAAATAGATTGACGAGTGTTCCAGTTTTATCGTATCCCATGACTGTTTGATTTAGACACGGACGCTCCGCGAAGTTGAATAGGAGCTTTTCTTTCAAATTCGAAATGGCAAAGAAGTATAGTAAACGGATATGTTAACCCGGGATCGGTCGCGCTGTTAGAAAAAATCTAACATTTTTAGTTTTATGCACATAAAACTTTGAATAGTAGCGTTAGGTCATTCCCCCTCCCGAAATGCCTGGAAGAGGTCCTATGTAAGCTCATGGCAAATCGGCATTTAGCTGGCTCAAAAGGGTTAACCATATCGGGATGATAACTCAGATGTTAGTTAAACTCTAACACGCAACCTCAGCGTAGACTTACCTGAAAAAATCTACCTACGCGACCATCTACGATCGAAATACCAAGACTTATGGGTAGATTCTGTGCACATCTGTAAGCAAATCTATAAATTTCTATAAGCCTATAGCCGTCTATAGACAATTTGTAATTCTGCACTTCCTGTAGATTACTGAATATCTTATAGGACTGTAAACATTTCTGATGGGGTGTTTGGCAATCGATGCGTTTTGCAGTGTCATAATATATAAATTTATAGATTTGCTTACAGATGTGCACAGAATTGATTCTTTAATTGCATTTATCAAATTCAAGTTTAAGTTTTGATTCCGTAATTTGTTTTTAGTGTTAGATAAAATCTAACACGCGACCGATCGCGTTATAGGAAGGGTAGCGACCGATCCCGGGTTAAGAGAGAAATTATTGTGTCACCTGCAAGGAGCTTCTGAAAGTAGTCAGATCCATTGCGCATTACCACAGTTTTCTGAGTTTCAAGCCCTTAGGGCCTTGTGTATTCGTTAAACGCCGCGGCCTTTGAGAACATTCTGCCAACAGCCTTGAAAAAGCAAACAAAAAAATTACATCCAAAATAATTCCAAGGCACTAACCTTAAGCGAGAGATAGCCAAAGCTACTCAATCACTGTCATCGTTATAAATGTATTAGAAAAAAACCTTTAGGTAAACTTAGTGGCACCACGTACAATTTCCACTCCACACATCCGGGTATCCCCTTATTTTAAAAATAGCAACGTTCTTCGCCTGGAAATCAGGGGAGAGTGGATCCTTTTATTATCATCTGGGCCCACGTCCTGCGACCGTCGGTCTCCCGCGATAGCGTCCCAGAACATGTCTTATCGCGCCCCATATACTTTCCTGCAGCCGACAGGCACTGGGTGCTTGTGCAAACACAAATTTAAAGGACATCGGGCTGCGGCTGGATGGCAGATTGTGCCTCGTTTTCATTCCTGAACTTTTTACGGCTTTTTTTTTCCGTGTGGTTTTTAGAACATTCTCTGATGTGTGTATGTCGGTTTAGATGGCACTCATTTTATTTTTTGTATTAATAATGCGGCGTTTCTCCCTGAAATACTGTACTGTGATTGGTCGAACACCATTGTAAAAGAAACAGCACTATTAATTTGAAATTTAAACTGTATAACACAAATTTTAAGTGCGAAACTTTTATAATTATCATTTTTGAATTTATTATGGGGATCTTTGAAATAAGGATTTATTAAAACCTATTTGCCCTCAAGCGTAAAATATAACTTGTAACATTGTTCCGTTTATGATTTTTCTATGAGATGTTTGCCCCTATTTTATTGCAGTTGCGTGCAACATTTGCTCATAAGAAGAGGTTTTCGTTCCAGACAGAAGTGAACCAGTTAGCTTTTTTTTTTCGATTCTCTGGTAAAAATTCACAAATACTGGGTTTCCTATCCATTCTTGCTCTTTGGTAATGCAATGTAGAATCCACAGCGAAAACCAGAATCATTTCACGGCCAACCATTTTCGAATTATCAACGCAGCTGTTCTTTTCGCAACTCACGAACATCGAACACTTCACTCCCCTGTTGAATCCGAATTGTCGCTGTCGATGGGCAACAGGCACAACTTCGTGAAAGCTCGCCTAATAGCACCATTGCTTGTCTTCACATCGGCTACTCTGTTCATCCCATCGGATCCAGGTGTGGTGTACACACACTCGGCCTAGCTTCCAAAGTTTAGGAAGAAGATTATCCTCTTTGATGAGCACTAAATCATTGAGCTTGAGGGCTGGTTTGTTGAGTTTGCTTTTGTGTCGTTGTTGTAACTCGTTCAGATATTCGTTCTGCCATCTACTTCAGAAATGTTGTTGAATTTGTTGGATGAGTTGATACCTTGTAAGTCTGTTGGCAGAGATATGTGATATGTCTGGATCTGGTAATGACCTAGCTGGACGGCCCAACAAAAAATGAGCAGGAGTCAGTGGGTTCAGATCGTTAGGATCGGATGACATTGGACATATAGGACGGGAATTTAATATTGATTCTATTTGAACCAGCAGAGTGTCTATTTCCTCAAATGTAAATACCACTTTGCCCATAACCCTTCGCAGATGATGTTTACCGCTTATTTTTATCCCATTTTCTCACATACTACCCATATGCGGGGCGCGTGGCGGTATGAAATGCCATTGCACGCCATCATTAGTGACCGAATCTTGTAAATGATTTTGAATGTCCTTATTAGTGATAAATTCCTTGAATTCTGAGCGAGCACCTACAAAATTACTCTCGTCTGAATAGGCATGAGTTGGCTTGCCTCTTCGGGATTCAAACCTTCTGAACGCGGCAATGAAACAGCTCGTTGTGAGCTCCG